TTTTTTTTATATTCTTTTTTCTAAGCTATTCTAAGTATGGCCCTACAAATCATAACTAAATCTACGGTGAAAGCTTTATGAGAGTTTTTTCCCTTTCCCAGGACCTTTTATTGGGAGCGCTTGTTACACGGGAGGTCTTCTTAATATGCATTGTTGTAGATAACAATAATTTTTTTTGTATCAGACCCTCGAGTGTTATCGTTTATGGAAGGAAAGTGAGTAATTTCCTGGTGAATCATCCTTCAGATATTCCTGCCATCCTCTTTAGCTATCCGCTACTCAAAATCATTCATCAATCTACTATTTGGGCGTAATACACACAGTATACTTAGTAATATACAACTTTGTATCTTAGTCGAGATTTCAGCTTACATATTAGAATGGTCCTATGTTTTTCTTTTTCAAATGTAGAGCTAGTGTGATGAATAGTTTGTTCTGAAGATGAAACATATTGAAGTTTTTAGACTATCCTTTCGGGCCTCAACTTGAGCGTTTTCCTTAGAATCTTTGTAATTCACTGGTTGCAGGGCACATGAACGGTCTATTACTATTGACCAGGACGCAATCGCCCGAATCGATACTTGCCAACTTGCCGCTAACAGTCCAATTGAAGATTTCTACTCGGCCGCTAAATGTGAGCTCATATGTTGTAGAGTGGATTTACTTACTAAATTTTCCAATACAGCATTTATAGAAGTAGAGATTCGTGCTGTACTGATGAGCTCAGTTCATTTAGGCCTCTCATCCAATGCGTATCTTTTTGGAGTTTTTGATGGACACGGTGGTCAGTCGTGTAGTAGACATGTTTCCGTTTCCTTGTTCCCATATATTTGCGCTTCTGTCCTGAGAAAACATGAGGTGAGCACTTTGCTTCAATGCACGGTTCTATTTCAAACCTGCTGCTTCCTTAGTCTCAATAACTCTTAGACTTGTAGCGCGCGTTAGAGGTGTGTGCTAGGGTAATGCAGATGAAAAAATGTAGTATTTGAATTTCCGACTACGAAATGAACCAGTTTAATTTGCAAAATTATTAGAATAATCTGAATACATCGGCTAACTCCTAAAAATTAGCGCTACCTGCATTTCTTTTTCTGTTTCCACGCCTTCAGCTCTCAAAAAATTTATGTTCTTCGTTTCAGATAAAAGTTCTAAGTTTGGAGGACCGATTGGAATGGCTTTTTAGCAGCGCTGATGCGCATTTACCGAACACTTTTCTGTAAGTTTTTTGCTTATTCTTAGTCTCACATTGCTTCTGTTTTATTTGAGATTTATTGATTTTCTTCTTGAAAACTACCTGATATTGATGTAAATCCAGGCAACCCACAATGCAAAATGTTGTCGATTTTCACAAAACTTTTATCAAAAAGAAGGATCTTACTACAGGTGCTTACAGTTCTTTGCTTTTTTTTTCTTCACTCAGTTGACGAAAGGAGATGTATCTTCTTCTGATTAATCACATATTTTCCCTTATCAGCACACATTTCGCAAGTATGTTTCAGTTCGCGAAGCCCTCAAACTTGCTTTCGAGATGTGCGATGAAGATTTATGCCGTGCTGCTTTACCAGATAATAGAGGACAATTGGATAGGCAAGGAATTATTGTGACTAGTAACGAACCTAGGTTCGCACTTGGGGTTCAGCAGAACTAGATGAATATGTAGCTAGCCTGAAATCTTGGTGTGAGCCCATAAACACGTCATCATAGGAATTCCAGGTTATCAGTAATGACTGCCGCATCCGGATCCTGTGCAACCCTTGCTCATGTGCGGAAGCGAAATCTTCATGTAGCCAATGTGGGAGATAGTGCCGCAGTGTTAGGTTAGTGGAGGCTCCCTTCCAAGTTCCATTCATTCTCTTTTTCTCTGTTCAATTTTTATTTTTACATACTTTGGGTACCCCGATTATTCGATGTTTGGTGCATTTTCTGAGCTTCACCACTTCGCTTAATTACAAAAATATGATAACAAAAATTGAAGGCACAGTATTGGAATAGACACTGTGTCATCAATTTCCTCCAAACCCCAGAGCTGCAGACAGTTGTCTTTCATCACCTCTGTGTTTCTATCCCATTTTTTATATCTAAAAAAGTGTCTGGGTCGCCAAGGATTGTATAATCAACTAGTGTTGTTTGAACAACGAATTTGGTTCACAATTCACGTATCATATCACGTATCACGTATCAATCATGTGATCTTCATTATCTATTCTTCCTCCGTTTTTTTTGTGATAGTCATAAATAGAAGGTGCTTTGCGTTTTCTACATTACAGATTCTAAACCCATAATATTGTCCAAATGACAACTCATTCAATTGCCCTGATTATTTTTTTCTCGGTGTGACAGAATATGATGAATCAAGAGACCTCTTAAAACTGTAGGAAGCTTCTAGAATTGAAAAAAAATTATTCTAAATTGGGAGGCTCTCAGTTTATTTTTCCCATCGATTTTTTGGGTTTTTGTTCGGCTGTCCTCGTGCTCTGTTCATAGGCTAATCGCATCGTTTATCAAAAGTTTACCTGATGAGTGAGCTCAACTTTAGGAGGGATTTTCATGAGGGATCTGATCTGATAAGTAATCCTTATTCCGCGAACTCTGATTGTGCTATAAGCGGTATAGAAAATGCTTCTTCACTGTTTCTCCAAAATCTGCTATTTCCATTCACTAGCGCGACAATCGGCCCTGGCATACTGTTATGAACAGCGCTGATAAAACAGTAGATTTCCAGTTCATCGGCCTACTACAGTTTTTCATGTAAATGGGCTGATTTATAGCATGGAGTGTGGCGATAGCACCACATTCATAACGACGTTTTCATAAAGATGTAGATTTAGGCCTTTCATTGCTCTGGAATTCTTATCTGAATTCCACTGCATCTTGAAAGAAGGGAAAAACCAACATTACTCACGAACCTTTTCCATCAACTTTTTCCAGGCGTGGTCAATCCGAATGGCAGTGTAATTGCTCGACAGCTGTCGAGAGCTCATTGTGTAGATAATACTGACGAAGTAAGAATTTTTACTTTTCTTTTAATATTGAGAGTTTGAATTTCACCTATCATGGCATGTCTTTTACTAGGTCCAACGAATTCGTGCATCTCATCCTACATCGGAAATTCACGTACTCCGTGGTGGACGACTGTTGGGCGAACTCTACCCTTTGCGTGCTTTCGGTGATGTCCGGTTCAAATGGCCCCTCGATCTGCAGAAGGTTTTGATCACAAGTAGTTTTTCCATTGTTTTTAATGATGACTTCGATCTTTTTAGGTAGTCCTG